TGGCTGGTCCAATGCTGTGGAACAGCCTCTCTGTGAATCCAAGAACCACACAAACATAGAGCGTTACTTAAAACATACCTGTTTAAACTGGCTTTTAATGAAGGTTGACTTGAGTAGTTAACTCTTGTTTTATTTGACTTGTGTTCTTTTAGCATTAACCTTGATTTGAACCAGTTTGTTATGGATTGTGTTTTACTTTTCTACCCTTGTTCAGCAGTTTGGGGTTGCCTACATGACTGCAAATGTGCTATATCCTTACACTTGACCTTGACCATGACCTTGACCTGTAGCTCATCACCATCAGTGTGTGAATGATAGTCTGGCAATCGATCCTATGAGTGTATCCTCCAAAGCTGATGTCGAAGCCGCTTCAAACGAGCTCTGTTCCTGAGCGGACGCCATCTTTGTAGGCTAGATGAATGAATGAATGAATGAATGAATGAATGAATGTAAAACACTTTGGAGCCCTCTACCTCAGAAAAGCACGGCACAAGTTGAGGTAATAAATCATTTTATCACACGGGGTCACGTCATGAGGACATTCAACATGTTGGATGGTCTTGGTCTGATATCGAAGACAAATGAGTGGTGTGCTTTTCCTCCTGTGATTTTTTTTATTCTAACGTTGGACAAAAGATGATGATTTCCTCATATGAAAGTGCAAAGAATGGGTCGTTTACATCTTATTTAAGAACCATAAAATGTGAGATTCCATAGAATTGTGAAATATCAATCTGATGGATCTTTGACTATTTTAACCAGAAGATCGGAACTTTTTATTGCAGGGATTAAGCGACACTTCGTATTAACTCCAAGAAGGAGAGAGAGTCAGGTTTAAAATAGTTAAGAAATTTATTTCTACACAATTTAAACAAGATTAACTTTAACACTCTGTGTACTGATGGACTAAGGTGGAGTGAGACGTGATGAATGATGATGGTGTGTGTGTGGAGTCTTATTCAGAACCAGCGGATCCGGAGAAGCAGTTAGTTCTGAGTGGGAGTGAATGTTTCGCTCTAAACTTTAGTTGGAGATTTATAACACATGAAACGCCATCTGTCGGTCTACGTAACCCAGGGGAAGCCTGCCGTTTAGATCCAGGATGCCGAGGTCCTCTTGGCCCCTCTTTGGTACCGAAGCCGGTAGAAAAAGCAGCGGTGCCGACCAATCTAGTCTTGGAATGCTTCCAGGTCACAACAGGTTATCACTGCGTCTCCGAGACCCTGAAGGGGTCATGAGGTTCAGCTTTTATTCTGAAGGAACCGTTGCGGTCAGGTGTAACTTGCAACAGATTTTATCCAGCTTGTCGAGGTTCTTTATGGCTGAAGAGGAAGTCCGGATGGTCTGTCCGAGACTCCTCTAGAACGCTTGAACTCAAGAAAAGGTGGCGTGGGATAGTTTTTATAATTGTCATATTTTGGTTTACTGGCGAATCAGAATTTGACAAAGAGGGTTTATACAAACACCACAGAAAACCACGCCCAGCCAGAAACGAAGGTTCTGATTGGATCAGACAAAAGGAAATGTGTTGTGTGGCTTTAGCATTATGTGTCATCAGTGTCTAGTGCAAACGTCCAAGATTATAATTACTTGTAAAATACTACTGATCACAGGATTATAACATCAAGTAATAACATTGTCATTTCACAGATGATTGAACAGAGGGCTCACATTATTATTGGTAATTAACAAAAGTTGTTGATTATGTATTTATCAGAATAGTTCTTGTCTTCGCTTGGTAAAGCAGTTCAGCTGAGCAGAGTGCATGAGAGACCTTGGCCACTATCTCATGTAGATTAGCTGTCAAAGACTTTATGTCTCTGCTCGAGCAGACGCAGCAGATCATGACCTTTAGGTCATGAACAGTTCATGATGCTACAAAAGCAAA